TAGGCCACGAAATCTGCCAAAATTTAAGACTTAGTGGTTGTCCGAGGTCGATACTCAATATCGTACCTGCTAATTTCCACAGCCCATTTGGCCAATCATCCCGAGAATTCGGGCTTATGCATTATATTTTGCAATGGATAAATTGTCACAACACATATAGGATGACACTAAAAATATGATTTTAGTTTCCTAGAGGCGCTTAGTAAAGCGAGCGCCAATTTTTCTAGGTGAGGGTATCTAGTTTCGGCCTCACCCAGGGTTTTACTAACATAATAAATTGGAAATGGTGTTCCTTGTTCTTTTCGAACTAGGACTCCACTTACCGCTATCTCCGATACTGCCAAGTACAGGTATAGTTGTTCGTTTGCCTTCAACGTGTGGAGCAGTCGCGGGCTCGATAGATATCGCTTGAGTTCTTCCAAGTCCCGTTGGCATTCCAGGGTCCATGTGAGGTTATTTTTCTTCTTCAGTAACGAGAAAAATCGGTTGGACCACGGCGGCAATACGCCCGATTAGCCTTTGAACGGCCTTCACGTTGTCTACTACCGTGATATCCTCGATAGCTTTGATCTTGTTGGAGTTGATCTCGATTCCTCGGTTGGATACCATGAACCCGAGAAATTTACTTGATCCGACTCATGAACGCACACTTCTCCGGATTCAGCTTCATGTTGTACTTTTTCAATATACTGAAGGTTTCCTGCAAGTGTTTTAAATGGTCTACTGCTCGTAGGGACTTAACCAAGATATCGTCAATGTAAACTTCCATGGATTTCCCTATTTGGTCTTCGAACATCCGGGTTACTAGGCGTTGGTAAGTGGCACCAACGTTTTTTAATCCAAATGGCATCACGTTATAACAGTATGTGACATACTTAGTGATGAAGGAGGTCTTTTCCTGATCATTCGGGTTCATCCGTATTTGGTTGTACCTGGAGTAGGCATCGAGAAAACTGAGGATCTCGTGGCTGGCCATGGCATCGATCATGCGATCGATTTTAGGCAAAGGGAAAGAGTCCTTGGGACATGCCTTATTTAAATCTTTATAATCTACTCACATTCTCAGTTTGTTCCCTTTTTTAGGTACTACTACTATGTTTGCTAAGCATTTCGGGTATTTGACTTCCTGAATAGACCCTATTTTAAAGAGTTTGGTTACCTCATCCTTGATGAAAGCATGTTTGATCTCGGATTGGGGTCTCATTTTCTACTTGACCGGGTGAAATTTCATATCGAGGCTCAACTTTTGAGTGGTTATCTCATATGGGATCCTGTCATGTCGAGATGAGACCAATCAAAATAATCTATGAGAAATTGAATGAGTTTTTTCTTGAGCTCGAAGGTTAACCCCGTGCCCAAGTATACTTTTCGATTGGGTAGATGTTCGATCAATGTGACTTGCTCCAGCTCTTCGACTGTTGATTTTGTAGCATCGGAATCCTCGGGAACTATAAAAAATCTGGGAACCCCGTAATCATCGTCTTCATCGGTCCCCTATTTATTCGATTGGGTCGTGGCTGGTGCCGATAATTGCTACTCCCTCCGTTCTAATATATATGAACTTGTTAAACTAGGCACGAAATTTAAGAAAAAATAAAGACTTTTGGAATTTGTGGTCCTAAACAAGTCAAAAAGGGGCCTAGATTATTTGTGTGGCTATAAAAGCTTCTCGTTAAGGGTAGAATTGTAAGTTTAAACTAAATTATTACCAAATTTTGAAAGGGAACATTCTTTTTGAACGGACCAAAAAGGAAATAGGTTCACATAAACTGGAACAGAGGGAATATTTAGTTTCCCTCTTTGTACTCGAACTTGGTTCCTTCGATATTGCTAGTGTTTATACCGGAATCACTTCTTCGACTACAAATATTTCCTTTGCGGCCAGTTGCTCCCCGTATATTGTTTTAATTCCTCCTGGCGTTGGGAATTTTAACACCTGGTTAAGAGTCGAAGGCGCTGCCCTCATGTTGTGAATCCATGGCCTCCCGGACAAGGTATTATACCTCATGTCCCCCTCAATCACATAAAACTTGGTTTCTTGGATGGTCCCGACGGCATTTACCGGTAATGTTATTTCTCCCTTAGTAGTTTCACAAGCCATGTTAAATCCGTTTAGCACTCGGGCTGCAAGCACGATTTGGTCCTATAGGCCGAGTTATTCTACGACCCTCGATCGAATGATGTTGGCCGAAGTACTTAGATTAATTAACACACTTTAACTCGAGATTTATTCATTAGTACAGATATTACCAGTGCATCGTTATGGGGCTGCATGATTCCTTCTGTGTCCTCGGCGTTGAAAGACAAAGTTCCTTCTAGTATGTAATCTCGAGTTCATTTCTCCCTTGTGATGGATACTTTGGTGCACTTTAACATCGTACCTTAAGGAACATTGACCCCTCCGATGATCATATGAATGACGTGTTGAGGTTCCCCTGCTCGATTTGTTTACTAGAGTCCCTATTTCTGAAATAATTCTTTGCTCGGTCACTCAGCAATTTTTGAAGATGCCCGTTGTTGAATAATCAGGCTACCTCATCTCTCAACTATCGGCAATCCTCTATTCTGTGGTTGTGAGTGCCATGATATTTGCACATCTGGTTCGGATCCATTTGGACTGGGTCAGATTGTAGAGGTCGAGGCCATTTGGCATCTTTGATGCGTCCGATAGCCGATACGATGGCAGCAACATCAACGTTAAAGTTATATTTTGATAATCTTGGTGCTTCTTTAGGTCCGATGGGCCTGTCGAAACCGTTCTTGCTCATAAGTCCCCGGTTGCTCTTACCTCGATCATTTCTCCTTTCATTTCGCATAGAACCCCGTCCGAACCCATTATTTCTTCGATCCTCACTGTAAGGTTGATACTGATCCCTATTCGGCCTTGGTTCACGAGTGATATCTCTCTTGACTCTGACGATGGGTCTAACAGGATAAACGGACCCGGAAGGATCCCCTAGTTGATCATCTTCGATTGATATCGGTCGTGCACATCAGCCTAGGTGACAGTTAGATATTCTATTAGATTCTGCTTCAACTGATATGAAGCCACCAAACTTCGAACATTGAGTCCTTGGATAAAAGCTTGAACGCCCCCAATCATCAGCGACTGGTGGCAGATCCATCCGTTCCATTTGAAGTCGATATACAAACTCTCTGAGCATTTCATTATCCTTTTGCCTTACTTTGAAGAGGTCCAATTTTTTGGTTTCGACCTTGATAGCCGCAGCTTGTGCTTTCATAGAAGAGTCTGCAAGCATGGCAAATGAGTCAATAGAATTAGGGAGTAAGTTGTGATACCATATCATAGCTCCTTTTGACAGGGTTTCTCTGAATTTCTTCAGCAAGATAGACTCAATCTCATCATCCCCAAGTCATTTCCTTTGATGGTGCATGTGGATGAAGTGACATGCTCGTTTGGGTCGGTCGTTTCGTTGTACTTAGGAATCTCGGGCATGCAGAACTTTTTAGGGATTGGCTTTGGAGCTGCACTCGGAGGGAAAGGTTTCTGTACAAACTTCTTGGAATCCAAGCCTTTCAATATCGGCGGTACTCCCGGGATTTGGTCAACCCTAGAATTTTAGGTTTCCACCTTTTTGTCATTTGCTCCGATTTTCTTCTCCCCTGATTCTATTCGCTTTGTCAGCTCCTCGAGCATTTTTATGATCTCGGGGTTATTATCCTACTCGTTCCCACTCGACCTTTCCGCGACCGGTTCCTCCATGCGAGTGATCTCTCGAGACAGGACGGGCTCGATCCTGCTCGGTATGCGACTCTGGTTTTGTAACTGAACTATTGCCGCCTATTGAGCCGCAACATTTCGAAGATCATCCGTAGATGACCCCATCTCGTCTATTATTTTGAGTATTCTGTATTGTCGACCGGGCTCCACCGCAGATATTATTCTCGGGGTCAGTAGAGAGGCTTGTGTCGATACCACAAGCGAATTAGCGTCTAACGAGTCCATAATTGGAATTCTGACGGGATCAACGAGCATTACCTAGTTACCGGGCGCTATGTTATTGTTTTCACCGTGGTTACTAAACTCGTCGTCAGCAGGTAGAGGTGCTAATTGTGAGTTTGACATTTTGAGTTTAAGCCTGAAATCAGAGACACTTCAAAGAACAAGCGTAAAATAGTGTGTGTTATGGAAATTCATATCAAATAACCACTATTATCCTTAGCCTCACGGTGGGCGCCAAATTGTTTACCCTCAAAATCTGATAACAATTGAATTTATACGCTATTTTAAGGATACGTGATCTAACGTGATACAAATTAAGAAAATCATATTAATATTGAAATCAATGAATAAAGAATAAATGCAAACCACACAAGTTGAACAATCTTGGCCTTGAATGTCGGTCATCCTCGAGTCAAAAGTACCTTAATCGGTATCAAAATAGAATAATAAGATAATAAGAACTAGTAATAATAGTATATTGCTTTAGGATGCGTGTTGCAATGTGTCTTACAAACAATTAGACCCCCTTTATAAAGGGGAGTCATACTACTGATACAATTCTATAAAAGGTAAGGAATCTCATGATTTTCTAATTAATCGGTCTTTCATTGATACGTGCCGAGATTCCCGCCGTGACATCCGACCAGTTGCAGATATTTCGGCCTTCCGTTATTTGGTCCGATAATGTTTCCTCGAGCTTGTTCGGAGTCGGGGTCGGTTTCAGAGTCACGAGCTCGTTGATCTTGAAGACGTATGTTCTAACTTCGTACCTTGGTTCGATGGAGCCCAGGGTCAATCTTCAACTCATCACATTTCAGTCTCGATCTGTCATGCAATAGATGAGCCTGGTTTTGACCGTATACAAACATACATAAATATATATATATATATATATATAAATATACATCTTTTCAACTATTATTTTGAGAGTTACTATAGTGTCATTTTTTCAAACAACTACTAGTATTTCACGGATTATGGGGCCCGAAAATAACAGGGAGCGCCTTCCTCGCCAAAACAATTTGAATTCGGACAGCCGCCAAAAACCTTCTCCTCTATCATCTCCATCTCAGAGTCCACCTCACTTTCACTCTCTCCTATAACACACACACAGACAAAACCACCAAGAAATGATATTTTCTGTCTTAAACTCAAAACGTTAATCACTTCAAAAAACAACACATCAATCCCATCTAATGGCTTCAATCAAGCCATCTTCTCGCTATGCCAATGCCACATTTTCTTCCATAGATTCTTCCCCCTCTTCCTCTACCGACCTAACCCCTCAAACCCACAACCAGCGCAATCACCACCCCTCTAAAATCTCATCACGCGCTCTCACGCGCCCTCAAGCTCCATCCACTACGCGCCACAATTTAGGCTCTTTAGTCAAGAAATACGTGGAGCACAAATCCGTGTCATCATCTTCTAAATTAAATCGGAAAGGAGAATTAAAAGTGGCGGATTTTGTAGCGGAAGATTTAAAGAAGACGGCGAAAAGGGGTACTGGTTTGAGTGCTCTGCATAAGAAGCTGTTTAAAGGAGTGAAAAGAGAAGAAGGTAGTGAGAAGAAAAAGGCGTTGATTGAAGTCAAAGGGAATACTAGGACTTTAGCTATGGTGCTTAGAAGTGAGAGAGAATTGTTGAGTATGAATAAGGAGCAAGAGGATCAAATTGTTGAGCTCAAATTGATGCTTGAGGAGAAAAACATAGAGGTATGTTGTTAAATTGTGTAATTTGCTTAATGCTAGAATTCTATTAGAATCCATTCTAGTCTTAATTTTTCCCCAAAAAATTGAATTTTTTTTGCTCAAGAATAGTGATAAGTGTTTTTTTATGACGGTGGTGTTTGGGCCCAACTCTAAGAGGAGCCTTGGCGTAATTGATAAAGTTATTGCCGTGTGATCAGGAAGTCACGGGTTCGAGCCGTGGAAACAGCCTGCTGCAGAAATGTAGTGTAAGGCTACATACGATATATCCCAGTGGTCTAGGCGTCTAGCTCTTCCCGGATTTCGCACATAGCCCAGAGCTTAATGCACCGGACTGTCCTTTTGTTTGGCCCCAACTTACGAGCACCTTGATTATTCCACGTGGTACTCCGGATGTTCGCATGTTTTACATTAATAATTGGATGTTAACTTGCAGTGAAATATTTTGACCAAAATGTGGGGTTTTATTAAAAGTTGCATCTTTTTAGATTATGCAGGGATTAAATGTGAGGAAACTCTCAAAAAGTAATATTAGGAGATAGGTTATAAGGATAATTAGAACATGTGCAGATCTTTTGGTTCTTTAGTGTTAGAACAATTGGTTTGATAACTAGCTTTCTTTTAGTGTATGCTTCTGCTAAAATGGTATTGATATCTTTGGTTGTGGAGTTGTTAATTGCATACTGTGGGAATTTAGGAATGTTCTTATTGAAGATAGCACATTTTAGTTGTCAAAAATTTGGTGGATTACATTATAATACACGACATAGAGAAGCGGGCCCATTACCCACCAAGTTTCGGATCGTGCGCCACTAACCCTTAGCGCTTTTTCTGGGTTATAAGAAAAATATTATGGCACATTGATTATAGATGTGGAGTTGCAAGCTGCATATCTAATTGAATATGCCTATATATGGTAGTATTAGATGGAATGGGAGCCTTGCGTAACTGGTAAAGTTGTTGCTATGTGAGTAGGAGTTCACGGTTCGAACTGTGGAAACAGTCTTTTGCAGAAATGCAGGGTAAGGCTGCGTACACTAGACCCTTGCGGTCCGGCCCTTCTCCAGACCCCGCACATAGCGGGAGCTTAATGCACCGGGCTGCCCTTTTTTATGTTAGTATTAGATGAAAGGATCCAACAACCAAGATTGACTTTTTATTTATCTGTTTCTTTTTGTTTATCTCGTATGAATCTTGGAATTGAACCAGAAAGAAAAGACAATTAAGAATTGTCTCCCTTCCATCTCCAACAATTGAAAATTGGAAGGTGGATTTAATATCTTGTTGTCGCGTTATAACTTGAAGCTTACATAGTGCTGTGATCTCATTTTCTAGTTTAATTACAAATGATAACAGGTTGAGAAGCTAAAGGATTTGTGTTTGAAGCAAAGGGAAGAGATAAAGTCGCTGAAAAACTCCATACTATTCCCAGATGTAATGAATTCTCAACTTCAGGAATTTTTGGAGAAGCAGGGCTCAGAACTCAAGCAGGCAAAGCAGCTTATACCAAGTCTTCAAAGGCAGGTCACTTCTCTTACAGGCCAACTACAGTGCCTTGCTGTTGATCTTGCCGAGGTAACCTTCAGCTTAATATGATTACCAGTGGCGGAGCTAGGATTTTCATTAAGGGGAGTCAAAATATAAAGAAATAAACTCACTAAGAAGTCAAGGGGTATCATTATATAGTATATATACATATTTTTTAAAAAATTACCGAACTATACAGTATAATTTTCCGACAAACCGACACCCCTTTGGTGCATGTGGCTCCGCCACTGATGATCACAAGACTTTTTAATAAATCCATAAGCCAGTTATCTAATATTCTTAGTATCTATGTTGCGCCGACTCTCCAAAATGTTGTCGCACCCGTGTTGGATCCTCTAAAAATACGCTACTTTTAAAAGATCCGACACGCACCCGACGACATTTTCGGAGAGTCCGAGCATCATAGGTTAATATAAGACCATAAGTTTAAGAAGAAGCCATTTTCTTGAACATGTGGAGGTTTTGTCTTTGTATCAGTCTAACATCAAACTCAAGATATACTATAGGCGTAGTATTAAAAGAACGGCAGTATTCCTAAAGATAAGCAGTATTAGTTAAATAAAGTCTATCGGAAACAACCTCTTTACCTTCGAAAGATAGGAGCAAGGTCTGCGTGCGTACACATTACCTTCTCTAGACCTCACTTGTGGGATTTCATTGGGTTTGTTGTTGTTGTTATAGTTAAATGAAGTCAATTATTGTTTGATATTTTCAGCCATCTTAGCAATCTTCAACTTAAAAGCTAGAAGGAAAGAGACCAAGTCCATTTTTAGTTATGTTCTTCAGTTTTTCAAATTTTCTACTACCAAATATATGCTCTTGGTGTGAGTTTCCACCAAAATCATTAACTGAGTTCTATAAAAAGATTACCTAATAGTACATGTCTCCCTATACTGCTTAACCACAATGGCAAATTAGCAAAATTAGCTATGATGTGAAAATTTAGGTGTACTGGTGTGCATAGGCAGCAATTAAAGTTCAATACTGCTATATTACTGCTCCTTCTTGAGCCGAGGGTCTATCAGAAACAACCTCTCTACCTTCCCAGGGTAGGGGTAAGGTCTGCGTACATACTACCCTCCCTAGACTCTACTTGTGGGATTCAACTGGGTTGTTGTTGTACTGCTATATTACTGATAGAAGAAATTTTTATATACTGAACCTTGTTAAAATCTTTTTCCATGTTCCTCCTTTTGCATTGGCTAAACGTCTCGTAGGTATGCAGATTTTTTTTCCCCACCACAAAGTCAAATTACACTTCAATCTCTTTATGTTGTCAAGCTATGTTATTTGCAATTAGATTGAGGAATTATTTACATCAATGATGAGTTCAAATCATCAGATTACTTATTTATCCATTTTGTTTGGAGGTAACAAAGGCGTGATATCCTGTCAAATCCATTTCTGAAAATGACTGACTTATATATTTCATACAGGTTAAGGCAGATAAGTACTCTATAAGAGGGTGTTATGATTCTCTTAGTAGCTCCCCAAGGACACCAGATTACGATCAAGAAGAAGCAGCGTATTCTCTGGTTAGTAAGTTTTAACGATAAGCTGAACTAGAAAATGTGAAACAAAGATTTTGGCTGTTATGTTTCAATAACCAATGTTTCTGCTCCAAGTTAGGATTCATTCAGAAAGCATTTGGCTGTTATGTTTCAAGCTTAAGCTTCAGAGAGTTAACTAAGTTTTTCTTTCTCTAGGAATTCAGTTCTGAACCTACAATTCCCGGAAGTCCAGATGACATGCTTCTCAAGGACTTAAATCCGTGCTTAACGCCTTATTCTACCAAGACGAAGTCCGAGGTAAGTGTCTCATGATCCAAATAAAGCCGCATGAATTGTTGTACTCGTTGAAGCTTCAAAGGACTACCCCTTAGTATTAATAATCTGATTAAGTACCTCTATTAGTGTGGTTTTTACTTGCGTCTAAAAAGGAACCTTTCAAAGTTATAGCTTTATTCGATATATATTGCATACATGTCAAACATCAAGGTTAAAATTCATGAATCTGCAGTTCTTTGAAGTTTGAAGTATGAACTGTATTTTGATGACTCAATGTGATTTTCTTTTAGGAATTTGAGTTCAATTCTCCAGATGACAAGAACTTGTTTAAAAACAATATACAAGTGTACCATGAGACTAGCTATAGCTGCAATTCTTGTACAAGCAAAGTATCGAAAAGTTCAGAGTGTTGTCAACGTTCAAAGGCAGCGAAAAGTTCAGTTCGTGCAGCTCGCAGATCTGATGAAAGTAAATACACATACATAAAGCAGATCCATAATAAGTTCTAAGGCTCAACCAACATCCCCACTCTCAACTTCCAATATTATGTAGAAAACAATCTTCTTAAGCTTACCTCCCCNTATAAGACATGCCGGCAAGAGTTAGAAAGTACAATAATAACTACACCTCAGTCACATACAAGAGTTAGAAAGTGCTCATATTATTTGAATTCCGTTGTTCTTTTCTTGTTTCAATCCTTAGTAGTATTATTTAATTATGGTTATGTGACAAATGTGTATATGTGCAGGACACTTGTATTTATTCATTTGATGCAAATATGGTCGATTGGTACGAGTTCTTTGCATTTTATGCTAAAAGCTNTGCATTTTTATGCTAAAAGCTCTGCTAATAGATGAAGTAAGAGAGAATGGATACAATAGGCAATGCTAGTTACACCATGCAAGAGAGTTTTTCACAAATTATTTGATATTCTTTGGTAGAAAATGTCAGTAAATATTAATAAAAAAGCTTAATTTCTCTAATAGGCGCATAAAGTTTCTGAATTTAGTTGTCATCCTTTTTCTTTTCTTTCCCTGGAAAAATTGAAAGCATCCATCTATCTTGGTAGCAATCCACCATTAAGAGCCATTCTCACAACCTGGAAAATAACTGTCACATTTCCAAATGGAAAAGAAAAAAAAAAATCATCCCATCAATCTAAAGATATAATTAACATTTCCATCAAACATTAAGGGGTTATTTTCACCATTATGAACTGTTGCACTAATTTAATTATGAAGAAAAGAATTAAGGGTCATATAGAGTTGCACAGTAAAGGGGAGTTTTGGAGCAACAATAAAGTTATCTCCGTGTTATCTATAGGTCACATGTTCAAGCCGTAGAAACAGTCACTAATACTTGCATTAGCGTAGGCTGTTTACGTCACACCCTTGTGTGCGGCCCTTTCTCGGACCCTATATGAATGCGGAATACTTTATGCACCGACTGCACTTTATAAACTTGTCAGTAAAAAAGTGATTTTGTCTTTTGTTTTGCTTTGACATACTTAGAAATAAACAATTTTAGAAAAGTGAGCATTCATTGCTACTTACTCGAATTTATTTTTGAGCATTTAATTTGTTGTTTATGGATATACTTCACTATCTATTTTTAAGAAAAATATTTTTCACGGTAATAATTTTTCATGGAAAATATTTTCCTTCCCCGACCCCACACTTTGACCTCGAGCCTTAATCCTCAAAAAAATGTATAACCTTTTGAAATATTGTACTTTCCCTTCAAATTATGGTTGAATCATCCAAGACAACCAGATATTCATAAAAGAGAGATGAGCTACGGATAAATCGGTCAATGAATAAGGCTTTCATTTGAAAATGTATAAGAAAAAGGAAACTTTTCTATATTTAATTGTTAAACTTAAAAACTTTTTATATAAAATCTAAAAAATATGCTAACTTTTCTATATTTAATTGTTAAACTTAAAACTTTTTATACAAAATCTTAAAAATATGCTCTAATAAATACAAACAGAGAGCATGACATATTTAAGATAACATATCTTAAACATACATTTAATGCTTCAAAAGTTTTTTTTAATATTTAATTTCGTGTATAATCAAATACCGATATATTAAATAAAATGGAAGAAGTATTTGAGTTTCTTTTCCTTTTAATGATTCAGAACCATGCAATTACGTAATTTACGTGTAAGCAAATTTCGTCGAACATTTATGAATTTTTGACAAAATTTCCAAAGAGAGGGTGAGAGAGAAAGTGAGGAAGGAAGGATTTTTATAAAATGGACAAAAACCTTCACATCATTGGACGGAGAGAAAACAACAAAGAAGTCAATTTCAGTAATTTAAATTAAGGTAGTCATATTTTTCTACCACATCGTTCTTCATCAAGAGAGTCATGAGTTGTAGTTTCTCTATTTTATTATTTAATTCCTTAAATTAAAAGTTTAATTCTTGAATTCAATCTTATCTTCTTTTGATTTCTTAACAAGCAAGGGTCTCTAATACAAGATATTTTAAGTTCATATTCGAGGAAAAAAATAGGAAAAAGATATATAATGATGGGCCTAATCATCAATTATTCTCTTTTTGCTTAATTATTTCTTGGACCAACCATCATTATCGACACAATCCAAACCTTATCTTACTACCAAAACACTTTAGGGGTCAATTGGTAGGTAATATAGGTATAGTATTAAATATGGAGTATTAGCAACATTGAAATTAGTAATATTTGGATTAGTTATACTGAAATTAATTATGCTGGGAATATTTTTGTTATTGACTGTTTGGTGTGATGTATTAAAAATAACATGCATTGCATAATGTTTTTTTTTTTTAAAAAAAAATTATTTTTAAAAATACCCTCCGATAGGTTGGAAAAGGATTTAGAAAAGGTTTTGAAAGAGCAGTTCTGTCTTTATACATGTTTAGCCATGTATTAAAAATTATGGTATTGTTAATGCTAGGGGTGTACAAAGAAAACCGACAAACCACACTAAACCGATAATCCGAGTCAAACCGAGAAAAAAAATCGGACTATGGTTTGATTTGATTTGATTTGGTGTTAGGAAAAGAAACCCGACCATAATTGGTTTGGTTTAGTTTTAACTAAAAAAAAGTGAAACTGAAACCAAACCAACCCGATATTACATGTATACAAGTTTTATGAATATTTTATACATAAAAATAATTATTGTAATGTAATTTATAAATATAGTTTAAACTCTTTAATAGTTCTCTCTTTTAATGTATTATTTCAAGCTTGGACTTAGAACTTTTAAATGGTCAAATATGTTTTATAGCCAATAAAAGTTAGTAATTCAAATAAAGCCCAAAGCAAAATCAAATCAAATCAATATTAATGCTAACAAAAAAAATTCAATTCAATACTAGAAATGATAATAGTATTAGATATATTTTTTTTAGTTTTGCATTGATTCAGATAGTGAAAATGCATAACTCACTTTTAATATCATTTTGTCCTGTAATTAATACTTAGTATTTATTAGTCGTACTTATTTTAACATGACTTAGTACTTTTAGTTTATGTTTATTTTTATTATGGCTTATTAATTAGTAATATTTATCTTATGCGATTTGTTGAGTATTTTAGTATAATCATGACTCATCTCACATTATTTAGTATTATTTTATTGAGTAACAATATCTTATATGGTTTTATCCTACTAGGACCTAAGAAATATTAGAGCACAAATTAATAAATTTTATGCTACGAAGATTTTGTCGGGAAAAAATCCGAAAAATTCGAGAAAAATCGTGATTGAAAAACCCAACTTTTGTTGGTTTGGTTTGGTTTATAAATTTAAAAATCCAAGATTGTTGGTTTGATTTGGTAATTGAAAAATCCGAACCAACCCGGCCTATGTACACCCCTAATTAATGCCATATTTTGTTATGTATAAGAACAATACCGAATATGGTATATAACTAACACACTATCAAATAAGTGATTAATAATACCAAAGCTAATACATATTTTATTTTCCCTAATACATCCTAGCAAACGACCCCTTAAAAATCCTTTTATATTTAATCAATTATTATGTTTTGCACATCTACAATCGGATTTCTCTCACCCAACAAAAGATAAACTTCTTGCTTCAAGGTTTTTTCCAACGTAACTTACTTTAAGGTGTTGAATTAACTTTAAGTTAAATAAAAGTTTCCGCATTGACCGAGAAAGAAACAAAGAAAGAAGAAAATTTGGTCTTGGAATCCAAAATTCTGAACCATCGAGGGATGTGGTGGATATGTCTCTTCGCTCTTAATCAGATATCTCGAATTTAAGATATATTAGCCTGAAAATTTTTTATATGAAATTTTTTCCCATAATTTTTTTTCATTTTTGATCCCGTTTGTTCACAAAAAAAAAATCATTTTTTTCCAAAAATATATTTGTCCATAAAATTTTGCATGTTTTTGAAAAAAATTCAAAAATGAGTTTTTTCAAAAATTTCAATTTTATTTTTCCCCCACTTATAAACCTGCAATATTTTTTCAAGTGAAATGACTTCCAAATATTATTTTTTAACTTAACTACAATACTACTTTTTTTTTTTTTTTTTAAATTACAGTTTTTATGTTCAAACGTCTACTTAAATCTTTTTGGAACTATATGAAATAGTTGTAATTCAGTAATACATTGAGAAAATGAAAGGAAACAGAAAGAAAGAAGTAAAAGTCAAAATTTTGACCAAAGGAGAAGAAGATAATTGAAAATGAGCGGTAGCTATTTAATTGTCCCACTCGGTATTTAATACTCTTCCATTTCACTTGTGAGGTAATGTTAAAATTAACTTGCTTATTTTTTAATCTCAGAAGATATTTACAATATTTACATTGAATAAATTGGTGCAAATTGACACTCTTTACCACAAATTAGTTGGAAGATTAATAACAGCTTGAGAAATTCCACGTTGTGATTGAAATAGAATATAGAACTGCTGGGCTCTTGACAAATTAAATAATTTTTTAAAGATCTTGAGTTGTATAATTTACTAAAATATTATTATTGAATACCATAACAAATGTGTGGGGATTACGGGTATCAATGGCGCGGTTCGACCTGTTATTTTATAAAATTTATATCATTCTATTTTTTTGGTTATTTTATTATGTATAACCAAAATTAAACTTTTTGAAACCGTCCCAATCATATCGGTTTCTCTTCGGTATTGGTATGGTTAGGTTAATTTTCGGAATTTTTTTTAAATATCATGTAAAAGTCACTAGTAAAAGTAGAATGACATATTATACATACTTTTATAGGACTTAGCAAAGCTCTCTAGACAATTTTACTGTTTAAATGGTGATGAATTAAGAAATCATGAAAGATGCTCATGGTATAGATCCATCAACTATTCTACAACCGTGTAAAAGAAACTAAGAAAAGATAAATCACACGAGTAAAAAAATATTAACCAAGCTGGGACTCATGAATAAAATTTATAGAAGGTTAAATATTCAAAAAGATAAATCTAAATTATACGAAAGGAAACATATTCAATACATTGTAGTTTGGTACTCATAGTCATAACTGCTAGAATACTTTGTATCTTGCTAGTGAATATGT